CAGAAACTCTGCAAGTGGTTTACTCAATTGTTATTAGCTGTTGAGTATCTACATTCTAACTATGTTCTACATCGTGATCTAAAGGTAAAAACATTGGCAATGCTACTTGTCTGAATCATTAAGTCATCTTTGAATTTCTACGGGCTTATTTGTGTAGCCTGCTCTTTCCAGTGTTCCAACATTTTCCTTACAAAAGATCAAGACGTCCGCCTTGGTAAGTTTAGATTTATGATCCGCCCATCTTGATATGCAACATAATCGCAGCAGTATTGAAACAAATATGTTTCACCTTTTGTTGTTTACAGGGGACTTTGGTCTTGCCAAAACTTTGAAGGCGGATGACCTAACTTCCTCGGTATGTCATAAAAATGTCTGTAATTTGTGCATAGGAGAAGGAACTAGTCCTGGCAGGTTGTTGCCCTGTAGTCGTAAAGTTTGTAGTTTCGGCAATTCAGTGCAGTTTACATGGGTTATCTTGACAAACTTTGATACGTGAAGTTATCTTGTGCCTCCTTTTTTGGTCACATAAGACTACCTATATTGGGGACTCTTTTCATTGCCAATTTGTTTTGAGATGGAACTCCATAACCTTCCCAGTTATTATTTTTAGGATGGCTCTCAATCTTCTTAATCTCAATTGATACTAGTCATAGATCGTTAACAAGGTCATAGATTTGGTGTTTATGCTGTAGGTTGTTGGAACTCCAAACTACATGTGCCCGGAACTGCTTGCTGATATCCCTTATGGTTTTAAATCTGATATCTGGTCGCTAGGTATGTGTGTAACTCTGTCCTTTGTAACTCTTAAGAATCTTGTAATTGCCACCGAAGCTAAGACTGTATGTTGTTGAACAGGCTGCTGTATATATGAGATGGCTGCGTATCGGCCTGCTTTCAAAGCTTTTGTAAGTTATTTATTTCACTTAGATAGTCTAACGTGACCCACAAAAAGATAGTCTAAATGTTTACAGTCTGTAGTTTGATGTATTTTTTTTCCATTCCTTAAGTCTTCCTTGTTTGGTAGGCGATTGAACAGTGAAGGTTCTGTCTCTTGAAAAGAAGAAAAGATTAAGAGCCATATATAGACTTGTGTATCAGTGAAAATTATGGATGGATCATTCTTGGTTTCCCTGCATTCTATCTCATGAAAGAACCCCATGGTGTCTAATTTAATTTTATATACGGTTTCAGGATATGGCAGGGCTTATAAGCAAGGTTAATCGCTCCTCAATTGGTCCATTGCCTTCGTGCTATTCACCATCTTTGTAAGATTCTTTTTCTAATTTGAAGACTCTTCTATATTTCTTGATTTGACACTACGACTTGTCCATAACCACCATGCAAAGGCTATATTGGCTGGTGGTTTTTATAACTCTGTATGCCAATGTTATCTATAACATGGCAGCGATACAATAACATGGCATCCATAAATGATCAATCTTTCAGCAAGTGTAATGTGTTGAAAGGCCTGGTTTATAACACATTTCTCTTCCTCTTTTTTGGTTTGATATTTCAGAAAATCACTCATCAAGGGGATGTTAAGGAAGAACCCCGAGTATCGGCCAAGTGTATGGTTTTCCTAGGACCAGATACCGTCTGCTTAAGGGCCTTCACTCTCCGGAAAGACATTAACTAAATCATATATTTTTCTTCTTGTTTTGTTCAGGCCTCCGACATTTTGAAGCATCCTTATTTGCAGCCATATGTTGAGCAATACCGTCCAGCTATTTCTGCGTCTATAACTCCAGAAAAGCCTCTTAATTCTCGTGAGGGCCGGAGGAGTATGGCTGAAAGCCAGAACAGCAATAGCTCAAGCGAAAAAGATAACTTCTATGTGGGTGACAAAAATATCCAATCTATGGTTCCAAGTAATGGTAATAAAGCCACTGAGACCGATTCAGTTTCTGTCGATGATGAAGACGTCCTCGACCATATGCAACAACCAGCTGAAAATGTCCACAGTGTTTTAACAACAAAAACAGATAGCCATGGGATTTTAAAGCCCTCACACAGTGACCAGCGACCAGACATTATTCAACCAAGGCATCCAAAAACTATCCGAAACATCATGATGGTTTTGAAAGAAGAGAAAGCTAGAGAGAATGGTTCACCCATGAGAGCTAATCGAGGGAGAACGTCTGCTGTTCCTACACAGAAAAATAATACTGAAACTCCTTCAAAGATTCCCAAACTTGGTGACATTGCTCATAGCTCCAAGAGTAACTCAAATACACCTATCCCGCTGTCAAAAATAGCTTCTGATTTTGCAAGGACTCCAGGTTCAATACCACCAAAGCATCACGTACACACTCTCTCTCACACTCTAAATCCCATCTTTAGTAGATATTCTACATTTTTCATATGACGAACTCATCTTGCAGATACCAGTGATTGACTCTTCTCCAAAACTTAAGCCTAGAAACGATAGAATCCCCCTTGCTCCTGCTGCTAAACACGAGGCCGAAGAGGCAATGTCAGTTAAGCGAAGGCAAAGAACACCACCTACTTTACCAAGGAGAATGTCTTTGATAGCTCAGCAGTCAAGACAATTAGGAGCCGATATCCCAAATATGGTGGCCAAGGACACCACGAACCTATATCCGTGTGTGCCATCAGAGCCTGAAACTAATTCTCATCAGTGTCACGTCCATGCTTCCACTGTAATTACGCCAGAGCCAAAAAGAACCTCTGTCGGATCTTCCAGAGGAATGCAGAGTGAAAGCAGCAACAACTCTATCTCGTCTTCGTTGTCCATGCAGGCATTTGAGCTCTGTGATGATGCTTCCACCCCATATATCGACATGATAGAACATACTACTCCTGATGACCACCGAAGATCCTGTCACAGTGAGTACTCGTCTTCATTTCCAGAAATCTCTTCGGAGATGATGATCCGCAGAGATGAACACAACACCAGTATGCGGCTTACTGAAATTCCCCACACTCTTTCCGATGTTCAAAGCAACATTTCCCATCACCAGTCAGAAGGAAGCTCTCCTACTGTGCCTAAAGGGGGTAGCGCTGCAACAATACCAAGCTACGAGCTAAATGCATCGCAACGACAACACGGTGATGACATATTCACAGTCAAAGAATTTGTTTCCTCTGTTCCCGAAGCAACACCAATGCCTTTGCCTGTTGGACCGTCACACCAAGTGAATTCTCACTCTGAAGACAAAAGAACCGTTGTGTCTCAGAACTCAGCTCTTGAGGAGAACAACAATCAAGTTGCTGACGATGTCATACATGCTATCCGCCACAGCAGTTTCCGAGTAGGGAGTGACCAGCCAGTCATGGAAAGTGTTGAAGTTGGTGTGCAGAACGTTGATGTCGGAAAACTCATAAACGTTGTGAGAGATGAAATGGAAGTCAGAAAAGTAGCCACTCCCTCTGAACCAACCACCATGAGATCGATCAACTCAGAGTCTCCTGACTCAAGAACCGAGACCCGTCCTGATGAACCTGACCCCATCACCAATTACTCAGAAACAAAGAGCTTTAACTCATGCTCTGATTCGTCTCCAGCTGAGACCAGACCCAACTCATTCATGCCTGAAGAGGAAACAACTCCGGCTCCAGCTGTGAAAGAAACGTTGGACATCAAGTCATTCAGACAGAGAGCAGAGGCGCTTGAAGGCCTCTTGGAACTATCCGCGGATTTGCTGGAACAGAGCAGGCTCGAAGAGCTAGCCATCGTGTTGCAGCCGTTTGGGAAAAACAAAGTTTCGCCCAGAGAAACCGCAATTTGGTTGGCAAAGAGTTTGAAAGGAATGATGATCGAAGACATCAATAATAACAACAGTGGCTGCTCCAGGAATTGCTAATGAAGGGATACGTATCATACTTGTATTTTCAACCAAACTCTCTTTTTCTGTTACTTTTTTACTATGACGTTTATATTGGCACAAAGTAACAATTCTTTCATTAAAAACCAAAACGCATCCTTTGTTCAAAAGAAAACATCTGTTTGCGAAATTTCGAAAGTACACCACCAAAGTTTGTGTAATTATCTACA